CAAATATTTCCATTTTTTGTGATTTTGACTATTTGGTCAGATACACGTTTTTAATCTATTTTGCAATGTATTTTTATTACTTTTTTTTTACAACGCTTCCCTTTAATTTTATCTAGTTTGATCTTTATTATTTGCTTTTTTCATTTTCAGCATTTTTTCTTATACAGTTGTTATCAGCTTAAATTAAATTGTTCATGTCGAAAATCAACACTGTTTTACAAGACGACTGAAACACCTTACCCGCCGGAATGTCAAACAGAGGATAATCCAAGAATAACCTTTGGTTATTCTCGGGGATAATCTTAAATATTTGACAATCTGGCCGTGTGTTGTCCGTCTTTTTATAAAACGCCTAGGCATTTTATAATCCGGCTAGCCAGATAGTAAAATAATGAAAGGTTAACGAAACTTTGACAATTTGGCCACTATTTATAAAACGCCTAGGCAATTTATAAAACGACGGGTTTTGTAATCTGGCTACGACATATATAAGAAAAGGCAAGAATTTAAAAATAATTGTAATTATACAGGGTTATTCAGGAAAGTGATAAATATCCAAGAGTTTTTTTTATTGGGACATCCTTTATTTTATATTTGAATTGCCTTCGTTTTTCCCATTATATCATAAATATGGGATTACATCGAGTATTTTACACGCTAACACCAGTTTTACATGAAAATCGTATAGATTTCAATGTCCTGTATACTAGGAACGAAACAATTGAGCAACAATTCTGCTCATAGTGAGCTAAGCTCAGATATATCATTTTCTCGTTTTTTATACTATCATTCAAAAGTGTCCCAATTATACTTTTATTTGAGTTTAAAATGACCTATACATGAAGTTAATAGTATTTGAAGATTTTTAATTTAAATGAAGAAACAGGTAATTCAAGTAATATTTTAATAATGTTAACTGGTTAATAGGAAATAGAGTATCTGTGTTAATTACTAATGCCATAAGCTGTGCAAAATTGTTTTTAAAAAGTCTTGGTAGTTTTTTAGTATATCAGTCGTAAATAGGATCTCTATTTAAAGTTGTTACTGACGAAACAGAAATACGTGTCGGATCTTTGAAACACGACTTTAGATCTTTATAAATAATGCTACTGAAGGCTTTTAGAGAAACTTTTCTATTTAAATCAAACCTACCAAACTAACTCTTACAAAAACTTAAAATAAAGTTTGAAATATCTATTTTATTGAATGTAAAGTCGCATTTGAAGGGCACAGGGAAAAAAGATGATTATTTAAAAACCGCGATTTTGAGATTAATATAGGAATTCATTCCTAATATACATTAAAATCTGACAGTCTTCGAACCAGCTAAAACCAATAAGCGCTGCAAGATACAGCAAATTTAAATAAATGTGTACAGTGCAATAAAGATAAATATCCAGCTATCCCGGTCAAAAAATATAAATGTTCACCAGTGATGGGTGGCGATCTTGTGTGCAGAATAGACATTTTTTGCTATAGTTTTAGTTTATTAGTTTCAGTATCAGTATATCGGTCGGAAGTAGAACAATAATAGTTGGCTGTGCAGCATTAATTGTGTACTTTTTGTTATTAAAAATCGCAAAATTAATAATAGTCTCTGAGTGTTTACTACTTACTAGTATTGAGTCTGTAAGCGAACAAGTTTTTTTCTTTTAGTGCTTGGAATGTATTATGTTATTTTTTTAAGTATTCGCTATGAGTGACGAGGAAGTTGAAAAATTGCTCTTTACATCTTAAAGCAGATCCTTTCATGGACGCATGTCTGATGTTTCAAAAAAACTAAAACAACATAGTCATGAAACTGATGTTAGTTGTGATTTGTGCCAGGCATAAATGCTTTGAGCAGGTAAATGAAGAAGACCAGAAAAACATAAAACATTTTAATGAACCTAAAACACACGATGAACAAATCCTGTATTTGGGAATTCTAATTTCACAATGCCCAGTAAAACACCATCGTAGTAGAAAAAATGACGATGAGGATATTGATTATCACTCATTTTCATATACCTTTAAAATTCGTGTTCAGAGAAATAGTAATTAAAAAAACCAAAAAAGGTTGACAGCTGTGTGCACGTAGTTTAGATTCAAAAGGAAAAACTTGTATTTCGTGCAAAACTTTTTTATTAATCAATGCAAAGCGCTTTCGGCTTATTTGCCATCATCAGTGCTCATTGTCCACAACGTATCCAACAAGTTCCTGGTCATCCTCACTCCCAAAATTATATATTTCGGGATATTTACAACTTGCTAAATCATAATTTTATTAATATTAATATTTTCAAATTTAAATTTCTCTCTTCATTTTGGTTCAAGTTGTTTAACCGTTAAACGACCAGGAACTTGTTGGATACGTTGTGGACAATGAGCACTGATGATGGCAAATAAGCCGAAAGCGCTTTGCATTGATTAATAAAAAAGTTTTGCACGAAATACAAGTTTTTCCTTTTGAAATAGTAATTATGTTGGAGTTCCGTTATGTTAAAAAGCAATGCTTTCTTTACATGGTATAACAGCAAAACGACTGCAAAATAGGTATCCAATAGCAACTACGTACTCTTTAGCATTTAGAAAGAAAATATTTATATGAAGTATTTACATGTAGTACATGAAGTACATAAAGTATTTAGAAAATGTTTTTTGGTGCTTTATCCTGTGAAAAAAGTTTCATATGAAACATACCAAACTATATTTATATCGACGTTAAACATTAGTTTTGGCTACCCACAAACGAACACTTGCAGAAGTTATGATAAGTATAAGTCAAAGAAATTAAGTATGGTAAAATGTCCTACACAATAAAATAACCAATCGCGCTTGGAAACTGAACACAGAGTTTATCTTTTAAAGGCTGATACATTCTACACGAGAAAAAGTAATAGCCATATATTTTCAGAAAACTTATCAGTGCCTAACATAAGTACTAGGTAATGATGTTAATTACAAACTCACTCTCATTTTATTCCTTTAATTTTCATGTAATACGAATCATTTTTTTATACTTATACAGAAACTGCGGTGAAAAAAGGAACTAATGAGGTAGCATCTATTCTATTTTATTTATTTTTTAATCATTGGATACTAGAAATTTTCTGCGATTCATGCAGCAGACAGAATAGGAATTTTTCTGTTTGATACACTTTACCGTTCACAAACAAAAAAACGTCTAAGAAAAATTAAGATATTCTTAGTTAGGGGGCACAGTTACTTGGAATGAGATCGTAATATGGGACTAATTAACCAGAAGGCCACCATAGAAATCCATCTGATTGAAGTGAACTTATTCAAAATCACCTTACAAACTACTTTCATAAAAAGTGCACATTTGAGAGCAAACCAATCAAAGGAATTACAATATTGAAAGAAATGTCCAGACTTATACAGTATCGTGAATCTTATAACGGAAAGTTCACTACTTCTCTGCTAACACTTCCTAAACAAAAGCAACAAAATCTTAAAGTAGCAAATGCTCAATTTTAGTTACCAAATCTGAAATACCAGAAACTAATTCCTATAGTAACAGAATCTTCTAGACTTGAAAAAGTTTTGCGAAAATCCAGATGCAAGACCTTATTTTTCAAATTTACCTTATAGCCAAAATGTTGTTAATGTTTAATTTAAAATTATATTATTAAAGAATATGTTTTTACCAGCTACACTTTTATATTTTTTTAGTTTTTTTTTTCAAAATTTATACATAATTTTATACTTAGCCCTCATAAATCATTTTTCCCTTCGCCAATGGCAATCCAACTGATATTTTTGATATAAAGGTACGTCCTTATCGTATCAACACTGCCGATCGACTCTGTCTATCGACATTGTTGGTCAACAAGTCTACAAAACTGCATCTGTCCACACCAGAGTTGACAGAAATGTTTGTTGATCAGTCGAAATTAACATGTCAGGCGAAGATGACTATATAGTTTCTTGTGTCTGTGCCGTATATATTACTATCGCGACTAAAAAAAGAAAACTTGCACGCAAAAGAAGATTTTCGGTTCGACCAAGTCTTCAAAGTAGAACTAGATACAACGCTAGTAATTTGATAGAAGATTTAAAAAAAGATAACGTCAACATATTGAGCCTTGAATACAGGTGTAATGGTGGTTTTAGAATTTTTTTTCGAATGTCGAACAGTGATTTTAAATATTAATTACAAGAAATCAGGCCAATAATTTGTAAAGAAGACACCAATTATAGACCTGCCATTCCCATTACTTGCTGTAACGTTGCGATTTTTATCAACTGGGGATTCGTACCACTCACTAATGTATCTTTTCAAAATTTCAAAACAGGCGATTTGCAAAATTGTTGTGGAGGTGTGCAAAGCCCTTATTGATGTATTAGAGGAATATATAATAAAGGTAAGTACTTAGATGTTTATTAATATTTAGATTCATATAAATATGAAATAATTATGGCTACTTCTTAATCAAATTTTAACAACCACAAAGAATAAATAAGCACGGCAATAGTAAAAATAAGCTGAAACTAAAACAAAACTAAATATTTAAACCCTAAATTAAAATGGTTCTGGGAATATCTAAGTTTATTGTTCCGTATGACGTCCTGGAGTTTCCAGTTGGGTCAGGAAATGATCTACGGCTTCATCTTCATCAGTAGTAGAGCAGTATCTGATTGTGCCGGAGTTGGGGGATTACTAAAAGAAGAGCATAAGGAATATGATTCCGGGGACTGTTGCGGCGGTGGAATTGTTAGTAAGCCACCCGAATTTGCTGGACTGGGAAAATATTTTTGTTTCTAAAACTGAGATTAATAGTGTTATTGCTGAGCCTGAGAAAAATACTGCTTCCGAGGTTGTTGTGCTACGGGATAGTTGTAATTTCCCAATTTAGCTTTCAACAAAAGTATGCTTATTTTGTGTTGCACTGTAGCTTGACCATAAGTAGTGGGTATATTTCGCAATATCACAGCCACTTTTTCGCCAAATATAGTAAATACATCCTTTGCTTTTTTTGCCGTTAATGTTTGCGTCATTATCTTGTATGCGTCATTATCCAATGGATCATCGCGTTTCCTTTTCCTTGATGGTACATGGTCAACAGTTGGCGACTGGAACTGTTTTTTGTAGTTACATTTTCCTCTGCTTTTTCAGCATTACCGGCATTTACATTACTGCTCGTAGACTCTTGAGAATTGCTTTCTTTATTATTTAAAATGACATCTTGAGTATTCTCTTGCTTATAAAAAGTACTATCCGCATCGTCATCCATCACCGATGAAATCTGTAATGTAAAGATTTTTTATTTTACTACTGTTGGTTCTCTTGCTAGTGTAAAGTTTAAAAAATGAAATAAAAAATATTACAATTACTTTCTTTATTTCAGATGCCTAAAAACGAAGCAGAATGGAAAACCGTTACTGACGACTATTACAATCGTTGGAACTTTCCAACCTGCGTCGGAACTATGGACGGAAAACACATATCCAATAAACAGCGGCAGTGAATTTTTTAATTACAAAGGATTTTTCAGTATTGTTTTATTCGCCGTAGTCGACGCAAATTACAATTTTATTTATGCTAATGTAGGATGACAAGGGCGCATTTCAGATGGTGGCGTGTTTAGTAGTACCATATTTAATAGGCTTCTAGAAAACAATAAAATGCATTTAACTGAAGAAAATTAACTTCCAAATAGAACTGAAAAGTCCATACGTTTTTGTTGCAGACAATGCATTTCCTTTGTCAAAAACATAATGAAACCGTATGCAGGAAGTCACACTAAAGGTTCTAGTGAAAGAGTATTTAATTATCGCCTCAGCAGGGCTCGAAGAATATCAGAAAATGTGTTTGGCTTAATATCTAACGTATTTAGAATATTCCGCAAACCATTTCTATTGGAACCCCAAACTACATGCAAGGTAATGTAGCAGGATGTTAATTGCAGAATTTTATTAAAAAAAAATTGCATCTAAGAAAATTTTTGTAATTCCCCTGGAACATTCAATTCTGACTGCTCTGATTCAAGAGACGTTATTCCCGGAACTTGGAGAAAAGAAAATGGTAATCAGCTTGGCTTAGCAAATTTACCCAGAATGCCCAGAAGAAGTGCACTGCATGTCCAAGAAGTGAGAAACATATTAAAAGGCTATTTTATGACACCCGAAGGAGAAGTTCCTTGACAATACAAAAAATTTTAAAATTTATTTTATGCCACTTTTAATTTAGAAATAACTCGTTAGAGGGAGTAGTTTTGTGTTTCGTGATTTCATGAATTTTAAAAGAGGTCCGTTGTCATGCGGTTGTTAAACGTTTTTAAATATTTATTTTAAAAACCCTTCTATCAACTCAAGTTATAAAACAAGTGTTCGAAATAAACAAGCAGAAATATATCGAGTTTTTCGTAACCCAGATCAAAACCCCAATACTAAATATTTTGTAACAAAAGCATGAAATGCTACTGTTGCGCCATCGTTTAAATATTTTTCGCCCGCGAACGTAATAAGAATATATTTCCAAAAATGAGGGCGTAACAATGTACTAAACGCCTAGTCGTTTAAAAAATAAAAATATAGCTAATTCTCAAAGTCTACGTACCCCTGAATTCAACATCTACCTGGGCTTATTTTTGTCAAGTAAGAATCACAAACAAAAGCAAACTATTTACTTTTATATACATCCTCCGTACCAGTGCCAGATTTGTTGCTGTCCTTTATTTTTTATTTCTCTAGCAAATTGACTTTGAAGATTTCTAATTTTTTGTTCTACCGCTTGCTTCTCGACGTTAAATTCATAAGCAATTTACATAAGGGCATCGTGCATTAAGTTTCTGCTTTTATAGTTTTTGTTTTTAGAATCCCATAGATTTGTTCTCAGTTTGTATGTCTCAATAAAGGCTATGACTTTATCTTGTTCCCATTCCATTTTTCTAACGAAAACACAACTACAATGTCAACAAGGCAAGACATTACTGAGTACAGTTTGTCGAATGTCGAACGTCGAAAACACGTCCACACACTAAAGTCGATCGACTGCTCTTTCATGTTTACCGACAGGCGATGGAAAACAAATCGGCATGTCGATCAATTTAGTTTTTCGATCGACACCGTTGATTTCTGCGTACACACAAAGTCGATATACAGAGTCGATCGACAGTGTTGATTCGGTGAAGACGCACCTTATATACAAATCTACATGTTTTTAAAATAGTTTTTCTCACAAACTATTTTTTTGTGATATTCATCTTTTTTCCCTGTACCCTTCATTAGTTATTGTCAAAAACTAATTTAGTCGATAATAAATTCCAGCTGTTAAAATTCTACCTAATTATTAATTAACACACAGTCTATTTTATATTAACCAGTAACTAGTAAAAATTAAAGTATTTTTTTTTTAATTATCTTTCTATCATTTAAATTTAATAATTTCCCAAAATTATTTACTTTAGTAACAGGGAATGCTTCAATGAAACAAAATAACTTTGAAATGATGATAAAAAATAATGAGAAAATGATGTACACTCACCGGCAGAATAAACCGCCAACCCAATGTTTCGTTATTTAGTTGCAGATATTTGTAATTTTGATTTTTTTTTACTTTTTAATGTCTAAGTACATCTTGAAAAAGCAAACAAATACCAATCAAATGAAAGTTTTTGTTTAATATTAGAAAATAAAAGAAAAACAGTTTTCGAAAATTTTGAACTTTTTGAATAAGATGAGCAATACATGAAATTTATCGACAAAAAAGTATTGTTAATAACAAAATTTACTTTAGTAACGAGTGCTACTATTTCTTGCTCTGATCACATCACTAAGCCAGCGTTTAATGGTATCCATGATGGCTTGAATCTCAGCTTGTGGGATGTTTTCCCATTATTCCACCGCAGCAGTTTTCAGCTCTCGAATAGTGGTTGGAACTGGTCTTCGTGCTCGAATCCGTTTTTTAGGTTGTCCCAAATGTGTTCAATTGGATTGAGTTCGGGACTCTGTGCTGACCATGGCAAAGTTCTGATGCCAACTTTGTTAAGTTATTGCGTAACCACTCGAGCGACATGACATCGTGCGTTGTCTTACTGAAGAACAAAGTCACCGCCAATATGTGGCGCAAAAGGAATGATATGTTCTTGAAGAACTTCTTGAATATACCTGTGAGCATCTACACCGCCTCTATCAAAAATAACCCACAGTTTCCATAAGATCACAAGGAGCAAACCGCTCTGTCGGGCGTCTGCATACACGATGGCGGCCATCTGGACATTTTAAAGCAATTCTGCTCTAGTCAGGGAATAAAACATTCTTCCACTGATCCATATTCCACATACTTTATTTACGCGCAAAACGGAGTCTAGCTGTTTTGTGATGCGGCCGAAGCTGTGGGGCTCGGTAAGGGCGTCTCGCTATAGGATTCCTTTCCGCCAACCTTCTTCTTATGGTTCTCTCGCTGACCTCCACATTTCTAGCCTCAGCAAGACGAGTACGGGCTTCAACAGCGGTATAAAACCGATCTCTTAAAAGCGTGCTCACAACAAAACGATCGTCCCTCATTGAAGAGCAGCGATGGCGGCCCTGACCAGGCCTTCTGGTGTAAGAACCTGCCTTTTGAAAACGCCTTATGGCAGCTCTGACTATTTCACGAGCAGCACCAAGTATTCCAGCAATACGACGTTGACTATAACCTTCATCAGATAGAACTACAGCCTTGACTACTGATTTTGCTCCTAATGACATTGTTTTAAATAAAACTCTTTTAAAATTAACTTAAACCGATTTTAAAAAATATATACCAACACTAAACAAGTCTAATTAAGTCTAATAAAAAAAAACGTAAATTCGCTAACATTAAACAAGCCAAATTGGAACCAAATTACTAATAAAATGCGAAAGAATGAGAGCACTGACAGTTAAACATTTATTTACTGTCAAAATGTCACGTTATATCAATTAATGTCAAAAAGTGACGAAAATCTCCGAAAATTTCAGAAATAAATAAAAATAATTGGGTGTATTTTAGTGTATTTTAGTTTCGATTTACCCTGTACAATTTTGTATCAAATTGAAAAAATAGCGCGTCAGCATAAAATATGATAACAAACATCGAAAAACTTTACAAAAAAAAATGCTTTTTAATTTTCACATTTGCAGTATGTATACAAGTTTTTGAAATCAATACAATTTTCATATAAAACTGGTTATAGGAAGTGAAATACCCTATGTAATTTTATACTATTTAATATTGTTACAATGGATATATGTATAAAATAAAATACAGAGTATCACATTTAAAAAAACCTTACTTTTATATATATCGCTTATCTCTTTTGAAATTATCTTTAAATTGTTGCCTTTACTGTGAAAAAAGATTATAAAACAACTTTTTTTGGCTCTACAGACCGAGAATTTAGCAGTAGCCCATCCTGTAGATATTGATTTAAGAACCAAAAAAAAGTTAATTTTTATTTGTTTTATTTTTAACTGGTGGCAAAATTAACTTTTATAACCAGTTACAAATATCTAATTATATATATTCGATCATTTAAACAATTGATACGATTACAATAGGTTTACTTTATATATGAAAAATTACTAAAAACAACAATTATTTACCCATAATTAACTTGATTACTAATTAATTAAATTCGTATACAATCCTAATCCTCAAAACCAAACTTATCAAGCTTTTGCTAACATATCACAAGCTAAAAAAAAATCTCCCTTATCAGTCCCATCGCTCACCCCTATTCCTGCGAATCGTCGAAACCCTTCCACACGTAAATGACCCACAGGTTGATACACTACCAAGAGATCCTTTCAGGGATAGTTCCTATCTTGACCCAGTAAATATCTTGGCCCTTATGCGGAACGTGACTCGGTTTTGAAAGTTATCCTAATTTACGGTGTATGAAGTCCCGATGGACGTACAGGGAGAACAATGTTTCTTGCAGGATTCTCCCGACGTCCCTCAGGGAGAACAAATTGCTTTCTGAAGCTGCTTATGTCTCTATTGTGGTCTGAGAGGGTGCCGGGCTTGGTGATAGGAATGAGATGTTTCTCGAAAATTATGGGTATAGTGCATTCGATGAATATACAGGTAGGATTTAATGAATAAACTTTTAAACAATTTTAGATATACTAGACATCGAATTTTCATTTTATTATTTTAGTTGGCAAGTATCAAGGGTGACTTCCAATTTACTATTTTCATATTAAATGGTAACAGGTAAAGATTCGCTACCAGGTGGCACTATTGAAAAATGATGTCGATTTAATTTTTTTTAAATTATTG